CTCAGAAGCAATGGCTTTCACCACCTGTCCATGTTGTGCTTCAACGCGCGTTCTACAGCGTGTGGCAATCTGCTACGCCTGCGACTGCACACTGTTGCGGCTTTGTGAAACAGATATCCGCTCCCGTGGGCATGCGAATGAGCATTCGGCGAGGGCGTCGCAACTGCAAAGTGCAATATTTGTCAAGCCTCATGAAACGGAAGGCACGGCACCTACCAGCATTTGCCATAGAGAGAATCCCTGGACCGATGTGTTTCAGCTCGAAGTTCTCGTCGTTGAAAGATGGCACGGGGGATGTGTCTGCGCCGGGTAGGACATTCCTCTGGACATCTCCCCCCTGAAGATATTCACGAGAAAAAACGAGCAATCGGAGGCCCAAGGAACAGCGCCTCTGTCCTCATATGCAGCGAGCAAACGACAGCTGAGCGTACAGGTACAGGAGAACGGGCGATAACGACCACTGACCTGAACCATGAAATCGGGGATGATTCGATGAAAGGACGTCCCTTGGTATCTTGGTAGCAGATCTGCCACAGAATAGACGCAACACATATAATACAGCCGCTAATACGCCCACAGAAAACAATTCAGCATTGAGTCTACCAAGAGGCACTTCATGGAAGCGTGACCAAAATATCTACACACAAAAAGCAGCGAAAGCGGCAAGCAGTTCGTCCATTCTAACCGCAAGACAGCCTGTGCACAATGGAATCGTACCAACGAAATTCTTCACGGTTTTGGGCACGACGTCTGGCCTTAAACTGAAGTTCAGAAAACCGATTGACTCGCCGCCAATAGAAATCTCCATGTGTGCCTCCTGCAGATGCCGCAGCCCAATTGCGCCTCCAGAGTTAACTGGGACAAAAGGCGAACAACAGAATAATGTAATGACGCACCTTTACAGGGTCCGCCGCTGTCCCGAGGGAGGCCGTCAAGGCCAAAAAAGCCGCGAGGAAGACAGACTGCATTTCGAGACACGAACGCAAATGGGGAGTCAGGCAATTTGTTGTCATTCTAAGCAGAGAAATGCTACTAGGCAGGCACGACAGAAATAGTAAAGCTTCTGAGACGACGGATAGTGTGTAGGGTTAAGAGTAGTTAAACAGTGCACGACAGGCATTCCGGAAGCCGTTGCAGCTCATACAGCACAGAAGAAGATTTCGATCCTTTGTACGACGAAAGGGGAAAGGCAATTTCTTATGGATACCCTTCCTTGAATGAAAATGCATTGCTAGAGGGGTGGCAGCAGTCCACAAACCAACTAGGCAGGACGGCCCTCAAACTCACAGCTTCTCTCCTCATCTTTCCAACAGCAAATGAACTGCAAATACAATACAGATGAATAAAACAAATAAGACGATGACCTCACGAAAAACTCCCCCTTCAGGCTGTACACAGCTGCAGCACACGCTGGCATCCGACGGGCCGGATGCGCCTGGCGGTGGCGTGCGCAGCCGATGCGGCAGAAGGGGCGAAACTGGAGGCGGAGTAGTCAAACCGTGTAGCCCAAACCATATTGCAAAAGACTATTTGTTCTTTCTTAACCTATACCTATGCGCATTCACATTTGCTATTCCTCCACTTCCGTCGTATTTCCCTTGTTTTCGAAGTCGTCGTCCGGCGCCGCCGTGGGGTGACAGCGTACGAGTGGAAACAAATAACAACTGACCGTCCCATAGTTCCCAAAAGATGAGCTGGTAAACGGAAAACGCTTTCACTTGTGCAAGGCTGCCCATAAGCTAATGAGATACACAGAAACGAACCAACGGTTCCTGCCTCCCGCGCGACCGCCAGCCCCAGGCAGTCTAGCAGAGAGTCGCTCTCTTACGCACACGGTGTACAGTTAATAGTGTTGCTTCTCCCTCTGTATCTCTGGTTGTTTTGTGGTGGCATGTTTTGAGCGAAGGGCTTCGGTGTTGAAACTTTTACTGCTGCGGTTGCCTGCATTCGATTTGGCAATGGAGCCTGAGGGAGGCACCATGCCGTTCCTGTACATTTTGATTGCTGCGTTCACCTAGCTAGAAGCCCTTAAACAAGGGAATGACTCTGAAAGAGCTGCACCTGGCCAACGAAACTATAGGGGAGCAGCTGCCTGATAAGCTATAGCACTGCCCCCGGCAACTGCAGTAGCAAAGTGGCAGCAACCACACCAGCAACAGCAACAGCAACAGCATGCTGTTCCGCTCTGGCTTCCGCCATGGAGCAGCGGTGCAGGCTGCTGGGCTACTGCTGGCTTTGCTCGTGCTGCTGCCGCTGCTACCCGTTGCAGTACTGTTGCTGACGAGGGAGCAACGCCAACTAAACGAACAGCAGCAGCACCAGCAGCAGCACGACGTAGATCTGGCAGCTGTAGGTGTCCGAACACTGGAGGTACCCCTGTCTATGCATCCTGCGGAGAGGCAACAGGATCATTCAAGTTCGACTGAAACGGAGACTCCGCCTACGTTCGTGCTGGGGCAGCAAGTGCAAGAGGAGCACCGGGAACTGCATCAGCCGGAGAAGCAACTGCAGCAGCACTATGGCCATCCACTATGGCACCTTCTGAAGGGAGAAACGACGTCTGAAGCGGATAAGTCCCATAAGCAAAAACAGCAGCAGCAGCAGCAACGGCAGCAGCGAGAGGAGACGCCGAGTGGATGGATTCCCCAGGGTCTTCTAGGGAAAAGGCCACGAGATTCCTTGCCTCAAGGACTTGCTGTGTCGGTTCCTGCACCTTCTTCTCCTGCTACGCCTCCTGCTGCTGCGCATCCTGTTGCTGCTTCTGCGGCCTTGTCGATACTGCCAGCCGAATATCACACAGGTGTCATGCCCCTAGCTTTAGCCACCAACCCTCCAGCCGCTGCTGCTGCTGTTGCGCCGGGACTTGCAAAAGAGATTGCAACTGCTGCTTCCCCTCCTGCGGAAACTGCAACAGTGCATCAGCACCTGCGGCAGCAGCAGCAGCAGCTGATACTGCAGCAGCAGCAAATGCTGCAGCGACAACCTCACTGGGCAGGGCCCACCACAACCCCTCTACATACTGGAACTGAAGCAGCACCTCCACTGCCTTCCGCCCAGCAGGTGTATCTCCACCGTACCGCTGCTGCACCGCTTGTGCTGTCGCCATTTAACGGCTCGGCCGCCTCTCCCACACGGCAGCAGCAGCAGCTGTACTCGCAGCACCAGCAGCCCTTGTCATACCTTTTGGTTCCTTCTGGTGCAGCGGCACTTGCTGCTGCGACGCCTGCAGCTTCATCTCTTGTTGGCCTCGGGTCCAAGCATCAACTCAGCAGCGGCCACCCGCATATCGGCGGGCAGCAGCAGAATATGCTGCAGCAACAGATACAGCAGCAGGTGCAACAGCTTCAACTCGAACCACGCCAACGAGAAAACCAGGATCCAGCCGGTGTTGAGGCAGTTGCGCTTCAGGAGTCGGATTCACGAGCAGCAGCAGTAAAAGCGGCAGCGGGAGCACCGCCAGCTACTGCAGCGGAGGGAGAGCCGTCGCTTCTGGCTGGGTTTGTAGGGGGAGACAACAAGCAAATAGCAGGATATAAAACCGATGTGTCTGCAACAGTTACAGGTTCACTTCCTCTCGAAGATGAGCACGATGGTGGTAGGTATGCTTCTGCAGCCAGCTGGGAGCCTCGGACAGCAGCAGCTGCCGCAACAGGAATCGCAGCGGCACCCGCAACAGCTACAGAAGCCGCCGCCGCTGGTTCTACGAAAGAAATCCGGTGGGTGGCATCAACAATGGGTGAAGCTCTGGAATTCGCTGGGGCGGAATTAGAACAGACACAAACGCAGGAAGGTCCGAAGGAATCAGGTGATGGAGCTGGCGAAAGCAGCGCCTACTCATGGGGTGAAGAGGACAACGACAAGAAGCCTGGGACTGCGAGAAACCCAGAGGAGTCTAAGGAGTTACTCGAATTTGAAGCCGAGACAGAAGAGGTGCACTTAGCTGGCGGACACCAGACAGAAACAGGAAACGAAACGCAGGACACTGCGGATGAAGGAGTGGCGCTGGGATTACGAGCAGGAGATAGCTCAGACGGGAAGAGAAACGAAGAGGATGCGGCCGGCAGTGAAGACGAAGATAAAGATAGTGGTGAAGGTGAAGACGACGAGATACTCCAACTCCTTCCTAGCAGCAGCAGCAGTACCAGCATAGACAGCACTACAAATGGGCATTCGCATCAAGTGCACTGGTTGGACGGCGATATTCCAAGGCTCGAAGCAGACCTCCAACGTGGCAATACAGCAGAGACTAGAAGGCCGCTGCACGATGAACATGAGTGGGAGTATGAGCAACAGCATCAGCAGCAGCAAAAGCTCAACCTGGCGAAGGCAAACTCAAGCAGCAGCCTGAAGATCGCTCTCAACCCTGAAGCGCTGACTGCGTCTGGTGCTGATACCCCTCTTGCTTCGCCAGTTTCGGACGTGGAGTCTCCTGCTGCTGTTGGTCCCATAGCTGCAACACTTCCGGGCTCGTCACTTTCTCACAGTCCCGTAGTAGATGCTTCCACGCAGGTCACAGGCCAAGATGTGGGCACGCGGGTGCTGCTGCACCCTAGTGGGGATCAGACATTGCTTCTGCTGCAGCAGCCGTTGCAGCATCATCTGCCGCAACCGAATCAACAACAGGTACTGCAGCAGCTGCAGCAGCCGCTGCAGCACCCACTGCAACAGTCGCTGCAGCCGCTGCCTCAACCTCCGCCGCAGCCGCTGCAACCACCCCTGCAGCAGCAGCTAGGAGAAGCCAGGTCTTTGCTGACCCCGCAAGAGGTGATCAAGCAGCAGCAACTGCAACTGCAACAGCAACACGCAATGGTGCAGCAGCTGCAGCAGCAAGTTGCAATGCAGCAAGACCTGCTGCTACGGGCTCAGGAACAGCAGCTGCAACAAACTCAGCACCAGCGCATGCAGCAACAACAACAACAGCTCCTCCATATGCAGCTAGCCCATGTCAGCGAGAAACAACAGGTGCAGGGAGCTTTGTTGCAGCATCATCTCCACCAGCTGCAACAGCAGCAGTTGCACCAACAGAAGCTCAGGCAGCTGCAGCAGCAGCAGCCTTCACAGTCACGAACGCAGGTGCTATAGGTAAGACCAGCTTTTATATTGGTACCGGTTTCGGTGCATCGTCTACTGTAAGAGCAGCAGGAATAGCTAGAGCAACAGCAGCTGTACGAGCAGCACCGTCAGCAGCGGCAGCCCAACGGAGTCTTGCTGTGCTGCCAAGCACTGCATAGAGCAGATATAGCTATTAGTCCCTCTATATGCAGAGGAGAATCTAAGTATCCCACAGCTACAGTTGGGTGAATAGAACTGGGGCCGGAGTCGCTGCAGACCAATTCGCGGCGGCATTTGCGGCAAAAGTGGCCCATTTGCAGCGGCATTTGCAGCAAAGGACGCTTCTGCCCGGAAGGGAGATCAAATGCACGGCGTGAAGATACTTCACTGCCGAAAGGGGAGACACCACCTAGATCGACGCATCAGTGAGGCCGCAGATGCCAACATAGCGTAGGTGCAGCAGCAGCTGCTGAAGCCAAGGCAGCAGTAGCAGCTGCCGCAGGTTTGTATGAGCCTGCCTTCCAAAAAAAAAGCAATTCTCATGGATTTAAGCTCTCCGAAGACTGGGCAGACACTGAAATGGACAATGAAGGGGCGTAAGCAACAAAGGGAAACTCCGGAGTGCTGGCCCTATGTATCTAGAGTGTTCACACTGTCATGCGAGGTCTCTCTCTCCGGCCAATATCTGTTGAGTGCTATATTGAATTTTCCGTCTTGGTGGACGGTTTACTTGCTTCTAAATTAAGACAAATTGTCCGTTACATCGCAGGTTTGCACAAAGCACGCATAAATTGCATGTGCCATAGTTGGGCCACGGAATTCTAACTAAAAGGCGCTGAGGCAGAAAGCTGCATTTGCCGGCTGTACAGCTCTCTTTGCTGCAGGGGCCACTCGTTCCTGCAGTTAAGCAGAAAGCCTCGCTTCTGCGGCCTCTGGGTACCTCCTGCCTTTCGAAGCGCTGCCAAGGCCTTCATGATTTATGCTGGGGATGGCCGGAAGCGCCTGAAGCTGCACCTTCTTGCAACCGCCACTAACTTGCTGAAAGGCATGGAAGCGTGTCTCCATTTTTCGCAGTTGGTACTGTAGCTGCCATTCTCTTCGATTGCTGGGGCGGCGCCCACGGGGAGCTGCTTCTGCAGCAACAGCAGGCGCTGGTGCGCGCGTAGTAAGTCTCCCGGCTTATACGCCCAGGTAGCCATCACAGCACACACCGCGGACCCAAGAAGCTCGAGGAAGGTGAAAACATAAACTATCTGTGCTGCCGCTGTTGTTGCTGCAGCAGCATCATCTGTAGCAGAAATGGCAGCACGAGAGATGGGCTGCAGTGCCTCCGCAGCAAGCTCCAGCAGCTGAATGAAAAACACCAGGGCCTTTAGGCAAGTAAATTTCCACCCTGAGTTGTACACACAGCCCAGCATGCACGGCAGTGGAGCTTCCCTTGGAGTTGTTGAAACCTGCCACGGCAGCACCAGTTCTTCGGCCCGTAAAATATGCTAGCAAAATCCCAGATTTTAGGCACTAGACTGGGAGCCGTAGCAACGGAGATGCATACCCTAAAATCCCAGCGCGTTTCATTCTGACCTATGTTAAAGGGTTTCAGTAAGGGTCTTGTGGCAACGAAGACGACAGCAAGGCCCCACATGGCAACAACCAGTGAAAAGAAGCAGCATAGCTGCAAAAGCCGTTGCAGTACATGCTGATGGCTCGCTTCTCCCCCCCCAGCAACACTGGCATCCCTAAAACCAGCAGCCGCAGCATCTTTCTCTCTTTCGTTCCCGAGATGCATTAATGTTGACAGCAAATAACAGAGAAGCACTCGCAGCAACTTCAGCACCGTGAACGGAAGCAAGCAACGGTAGCTCATGCGAAGGTCCCACTGAACAAACGCACTCAAAGAACCGTTTCTATGACAAACCTACAGGAGCGAAACAGCGCTAAGAAGCTATAGGGAAACAAATGCAAGAGCAGCATGCAATTCAGCTACAGCGGCACTCGCAGCAGTATATACAGCAAGGGCACCGCCACCAGTAGCTCAAGCAGCGTCAGTGGTGCGGCTGCAGCAGCAGCAACAGCATAAGGATAAAGAAAGCGTACCGCAGAAAAGGGCCTGGCCTTTGTCTTCCACGCGAGGCAGCAGAGTGGCGGCACGAACCAAATTCTCCTGTCTGCAGCCCCCGCTCCGTTGCCTCTCTTTTCGTGTGGGGATGCATCATTTGTAGCAGAGGTAGGGCGTGGTTGAGACTGGATATCGAAACTCTCCCCTTTTCGATGAATATCCTTCGAGGCAGCACCCGTCCGCTGGTCATTTCCAGCAAATAATCCAGCTGGAGAAGACCCGTGAGAGGCTACAGCGGTGCTGCAAGTGCTGCAAGGTACTGCTGCTCCCGACCGTGATGCCCCTGTTTCAGCAGCTCTTAGTCGCAGAACGCGTCCCTTCTGCTGCTGCTGCAGTGGTCCCTGGTGCTGGAGCTTATGGTGCTTCAGCAGCTGTTGGTGAACATCAACAGCGGCTAGAGGCGCAAGAGATGGGCTGCTAACCACCTGTTCGCGCCTGTTGGTGCGGGCTCTAATTGCAGCATCGGCTGTATCAATGGTAATAGTAGCAGCTTCTCTACCCGGTGGATCGATATTCTTGTCGCTGCGTCTGGCACCCGTTGCTTCGGGCATTCTGAGCGACTGTCGCTGGTGCTGAAGATGAAGTTCTAGCACCTCGCCAGCGGCAGCAGCAGAAGCAGCAAGAGCAACCGCAGCAGCAGAAGCAGCAGTGGCATGAAAAACTGGGAGAAGCGCATCTCCCTCGTAAGGCGATCTACCTGATTCTCCACTTCGCGGCGTTACGACCACCACTGCAGGAGTAAAGTGTGGCATGCTTTTTCGGCGGTGTTTGGAGGCTCGAAGCGTCAAGCGCTGCCTGTGTAGCCTTTCTCTGCAACGACGCCAAATAGAACAAGTCCCCTGTCCATCAGCAGAGGCAGTGGGACTGTTGCTGCTGTTGCTGCTGCTGTTCTTGTAGCTCCTGCTGGTCTGGAGGGCGCCTTGGGAGCCCGAGTGTCGGTTGTCTCCACTGGAACGAGAGCAGTTCACCGCTTTGTTGCAGTGGAGACAGCTCTTGCTGCTAAGGCAGGAAGCTCTCCTGGCCCGTTTCCATCGGATACGCCACTGGTTGTCAGCGGCGCTCGCAACCGAGCAACGGCACTTGGGCTCTCGGGGGTTCTTTAGGGGCCCCAGGGCAATCTTGCACGTGACGCCATAATCGGCCGCATCAACTGCCACTGGAAATGCCGTGGCAGGCGCTGCAGCATTCTTTGGCGTTTCAGAAGTGCCTTTGCCTTCTTCTTGTGGCGCTACTTCTTCATTTTCTGCCTGTGAAGCGGACGATGCGGAGTCGCTGCAAGAACACGCAGAAACGCGACACGCTCCTTGCCCTATCCCATCCGGGTCTAACTCTTGCTCTCCTTTCACCGCTGGCGCCGTCTCCGGTGCTGCTGGTATGCGTGATGCTGCTGTTGGTAGTGCTTCCGCTGAAAACAGTATATTCGGGGTGGAAATGCTCCGGCGGTAAAATCTTGTTGCATTGAGTTCACTCAGCTGTACCTCCGTCAGTCTGTTGGTGTCGCTGTTGCTGCTGCTGCTGTTGCTGATGCTGTTGTTTTTGCTGCCGTTGCTGCTGCTGCCTGATTGACTGACGTGCCGAACAGTTATCAGTCCTGATTCGAATTTACTCCCTGCCCCATGTACATCTGCTTTCTGATGCGTGCCTGTCTGCTCCGGCTGCAGAGAGGGAGGAAGTTTCTTCTTGTCCTGCCGCACCCCCCAATCGACGCCCGTCGAAATGAAGACCTGCTTCGCATCCACATGGGTTTCGTTGCTGTTTTGGGTTAGACGCAGGGAGTGCTGCTGCTGTATTAGAAGCAGCGTGGTCTCTGGGCCTCCCATCAGGTGCAGCATTAGCAGCATGAAGCAATGCATGCAGCAAACCTCCCATGCAGACCGAAGCTGCGACAGAAGCAACCCCACACGGGGCTCCAAAAGGGAGAGCCTGAATTGGCAAAAGCCGCATATACAGCAGCAATGGGCAGCGGAGAATGGGTCCCAAGAACAAGCATTGAGAAGGGACTGACGCTGGTTCTCGTGCAATGGTTCACCAGGTGCTGCTGCTACACCCTCCTCTGCGGTTCTATGTCCCTGCTGTCGAGTTTTCGACTACTGGTGTTGCGCTTGCTAGAACCACTCACCAAGCGATTGCTCCAGATAGAGGAAAGAAGGAGTAGACGAGGCTCATGTAAAGGGCAGCGGGAGGGCTGAAACAGCGGCGCTGAATCAGACGTAACTGTCCTGCTACTAGGGAAAACCGGCGTTGGTGCAGCGCCCACAGCAGTAGCAACAAAACGCAGATCACGGTCGAGGAGGCCCTGGAAAAATTACAAGCAGCAAAAGTTCCAGCTACCTGGATATGCGAAAGTGAGTTACTGCGTATCGGAATAAGCACATGCCGCAGTACGTATGTTTGCCTCATTGTAGGAACCTGTGTTTGCGTCTTCTGTGCGAATGTGCATTATATGCAAGTCCATATATGTTGCTGCATGCGCCTGTGTATGCAGCAGCACGACTCATCTCCCTACGCGCAGGGATTTGTGCATGTTTTTACGAAAAAGCATTTATGTGGAGATGCGATGCACGCAATGCACGTTAGCGTTCAACCGGAGCACGGTGTGTTCAGCTGTCTGCTCCCGCTTCACACCGGACGAGGCTGCCCACCTTGCACTTGTGTGGTTTGGATGGCAACAACTTTGCAGTAGGCAAGGCCTTACCAAATCCACATGGGGACTTCGGCTACTGGCATTGGATCTGCGGCGTGGACATTCCCATAAAATGACAACGGCTCCTGCACGCCCAACTGCGTTCCCCGGAAACTGGCACCCCCTTCTGCAGTTGACATGCCATACGCTGCAGCTGGAACGCCTGGGGCTGGCTCCGTGGGATGCCTTCCTCCAGGAGTCCAAAGTGGCATCTCGGAAGGAATGATGTGCGCATTAGCGGCAACCACGAGGCCCATGCCACAATTAGATCCTGTGCCTTGAAGGAGGCGTAGGGCCCTCGAAGCCTCAAAGGAGGTCTGGGGCTCTCCTGGCCCCCCGCAGTAACAAAAAGGGAAGCAGAGCCCCAAGGCAGAAGAAAGCAGCTCTCAGCTTCACCGCATGGCCTGTCTTCTGAGTGTTTCCACGGTGAGATGGTGCATGAGGAGTGTATCAGGGTGGATACACAGATAGTAACCGATATATTAAGGAAGATTGCTGCATGAGGAAGGCCAGAAGCGCAGCCCAGAGGGTGCACGACACCCACCCTCTGTGACGATCAGGCGATAGAGGGGCCGGGGTTAACAGTGGAGGTGAGCATGCCCACTACACCTTCGTGTCAAAAAAGGAAATGGCAGAGAGGAGCAGGCGTTAAAGGCAACTGGATAGGCACTGGAAGTCCCCTTGACTCGTCGCGAAACCCCGACCGGAATGCCAAGACCAGCGCTGCCAGGGCGAGCAGCCCTTGTTCTACCAGCGACTGCAAATCTTCTTCGGCAGCACCCGCTGTAAATGCATATGCATGTCAGTGTAATAAAACTGAAAAAGCAGGCTGAGTTTGGTTTCATGCATTACTGTTCCGGGCAGTGGGGGAATCCTCCAGGGGGAACCCGAACATTCCCGCCAGCACCACCAGTACGCTGACCCCTGTTACAGGAAAGTGCGGCAGCTGCCCTGAGGCGAATAAGAAAAGCCATCTGACAAAACGGGGCAAATAAAAAACTCATATTCCTGAGTGGGAGAAGCTGATGGAAGGAGAGTATTGCATGATGCGTATTTTCGGAGTGTGTCACGGAGGTTGTCTGCGGAGCCACCTGATGTTGGTCTGGACCGGGAAAGATACTTTGGGGACCCACCTTTGCAGCGCTGGAATGATTCCTGTTTTGGTTTCAGTTTTGTGAAGGTAATGGGAAAGGGGTCGAAAATTTGTCTAAACACTGGCGTAGGGGTCCACGGCATACACGCGACACAGCGCAGAGGTGTGTGGTGAGTATGTGGCGTAAGCGTGAGGTAAACAAAAACTTTCCAAGGCTCAGTGAAACCGTGAGGTTTTGTTCTGCTGTTTGTTGGTCAAAATAATTCCCATAATTCCTTCCCCCTTAGCACGATAGCTGCTCATAGAGCTGTGCGGCTCCCAACACGATTCCTCGTGTGAATGGCTGAATGAGCGAATGATTTGCCTATTTACTCGGATAAGTGATTGCCAATTAGGCGTAGACATCTAGTGCTCAGGCTCTGTAGCTGTGAAGCCAAAGAGGCTCTGTGGCTTTGCATGGGCATCTGCCCTTAGCAAGGTGTGGGTTAGAATGGTTCGAAGTGCACGCGCAAAACTGTAGCTCAGAGACTAGTAGTTGTAGTTCTTGCGATTGATGCGTGCATTTCGCGGGGAAATGAATGTAAGGTGAGGCAAGTTACATCAACTGTAACCCCACTACGCACGACATTCCTAGACTGGCTGGCGCCAGCAAGACGTGGCTTATGGGGGGCAAAAACGAACAACAATCCGCTTTCCCGTAGAGCCATCACATAGAGTTAACTCACTAATTGGTGCAGGCAAATAAAATTAGCTCTTCGTGAGCCATTTTTCATGCAGGACAGGCAATCAGCTTCTCACCTCCAGAAAATAGCTTATGTGGGAACCGCCCTACTCCTCATAGGCTGCTTCAGGGGTAAAACGGCAAGGATATACAAAAATGGACTAGAACGGGACAGTGTCATATAGAAGGTAGGAAGTCTCTAATAGCCACGTAGGGAGAAACGCGGGGCCTTCGTTGCCGTATTGTGCCGACTCCGATATCAAAAGCAGCTGTTTCTCTCCATGCATATCAACTACTCTGCAGGAAATCTACTTTAAGAAACTGAAGTGAGGCAAAAACTTCTGATATGTGCAGATAAGAGTAGACAATGCTTCTAATGAGACTCAAGAGTGAAGAGCCTGTTCCCCTCCAAAGCTTGAGAGCTCCTGCCACCGTTAAATTATCTGCAAGGCCACCCAATACTTCGGTACCGCTCACACCAAACGACCTGCTTCGAGACAATGAGCAGCAGGGAAGCATTACAAGGGTGCTTGAGTCCTCACTAAGCTAATAAGCGAGGGAGGTTACCAATCGGAGTATGCAGATCGAATAGCACAGTGTATGGGAAGAGCTAGCATAGTGTTAAATGGGAACCACAGTACCACACGTAAGCCGCCCACAACGTAAGTCCCACAAATTAATTGCATCCTGGTCACTTCCGCATCCTGCACACTTACAACACTGGGGTAAATTATACGCAAAGCACTTATTTCTACACTGCGACCCCGAACTACAACTCTGAGGAGATTTTATTTAAGCCAGTGCGAAGCCGAAAACGACTTTACTTTGAGTTGTGTAGTGCAGGACGCCGAGAAGCAGAACAGCAGCTTTCTAATTTGTATTTTCTGTTCTTGGCCTGTAGGTGCATATTTACATGAGCAACAACTAACCAATGGAACCAACTGTGCCTGTCTGCATCACTCTATATGTAAAAAAAACTGAAAATGCAAGGAGTAGTCCCCCCTTCAGGACGAATAAGACTGGGAGCCGCCCTTGCAAACATAATGGCAAAAAAGAGAGTAGGGAGCCTATTATGGGTTGTGTACTAGGTCAGGAAATTCCTCCTGAATCTCCCAGGATGTTATTCTATGCAACCTCCGTGGCTCCAGCAATCGCAGAATAAGTTCCTTCCACCTAGAAGGTACTTTCGCTGCCTCCAGGATGGGTTCGAGTGTTGCTGACCTTGTGTTGGTCTCAATAAGCCATGTCGCTAGCAGTACATTTGGATCTTCCCTGCCGTTCACTCTCATTTCTCCATACGGAGAGGTTTTAGTTGTGAACAGTTCGTACAGGAGTATCCCAAGGGACCACAAGTCGCTGCTGGCTTGCGGGATGATGAACCCGCTCTCGTATGCTTCGGGGTCTAGCCGCAAAGCCAGCTGGGGCTCCCGATACTGCGGTGTAAAAAATGTCAGTTGTCTGCACGGACTGCCAAACGGGAGGGCGGACCCCAGATCGGCGACAAGGAATGAGCCGTCTGCGCTCAACAACATGTTGTCCCATTTGAGGTCATTGTGACTCAGACCTGCCTGTTGAATTTTAAGAACTATATTTACCAAACGTCGAGCTATATACTCGCGCGACTTTTCTACAACTTCTTTCGCATGGATATGTAGGTCAATCATATCCCCAAAGAATCTCTCCATTAGCTGTACGCGTCCCAAGACAAAATATCTACCGGCACGCTGGGCTTCGGGGGCTCCAGCAATATCGGCAGTGTACAAGGGAACGGCGATGCCCTTCTTTAAGCCCACCATATTTGCTGGAATGACGCCACAGAGCTGCCTCGCTCCCTCTTCCTCAAAGTCAAGTTCCCCCCGTATCTCTGCAATAAAAGCTTCATCAGTTTGGAACCACTTTGCAAAATTTGCATCTTTTCGGAGAATGCGCATCGCAAACAACTCATGAGCATCCGTATCCTCGGCTTCCACCACTATGGCTGAACTGCCCTTGCCCAGTATTTGAGTTATGCGAACAAGGCGGGGCAGATGTCCACCGTTATCCATCCAGTGTAGTGGCTTCACGTTCTTCAGCAGCAACGTCATGCCAACCAACGAATCCGATGATCCATTTGATAACATCCTAGCAACACTGGAAAGTTCGTAAGAATCCCCTTCACATGAGAGCTCCTCGTGCACGTGGCCCTTTGCAAGGTAGGCTGCAATTTCATCTTTTCCTCGCTTCACATCTGGAGGGAGCGTTCTTTCAAAATGATCAAGCATAGGTAATCCCCACATGTCGTATGGGGGGAACTGGTTTTCAGGATGCGAAAGAGATATAATGGCTACTGAAGACAAGAGGGACGTGTCCTTCTCAGTTTCTACTGGATACTCGTGAGCGTTTTGAGTTTGCTGTTGCTGCTCATGTTCCCCCGTTGAACCCGACAGCATGGTTGAAGTAGGGGAATTACGATCAACCTCAAAATAATATGCGCTGTCTTTGTACACAGGCAGCTTCCCATATGCAGACTCCTGCACTCTGGACGGGATGGTGAACAAAAGAGCACTTGCCACACCCAGAACTAAGATATAAAAGAAGTATCGTTCCCATTGCCTTCGACGCCCCGCTCCTGTATTCACCGTAGTAGAAAATGCATTATCATGCACTGGTGCATTTGTCCCAGTGGGCTTTTCTACAGTGGGGGGAGGAACGCTGCTCTCGTGCCCCTCAACATGAAGGAGCTCCTCAGTCATCTCTGTTCTGGGTGTCTCGGCACAAAGCCACACGGAAAGCGAATAAATACATCAATTTACAAGCAAAGCAGATGCTTCCAGCAAAGACAAAAAAGAAACAAGCAAGTCTGCTAAGGCTCCCCACAGTTCCGGTGGTCATGCGTACGCGCTCGCTGCTGTGAGGACCACTACTTTGCCTCAACCATAGTACGGAATTAAAAATGCACAGGAAACCATGTTCACAAAGTCAACTAATATTGATTAAGATGCTGCAGACACTCTCTTAAGCATGGGCTCAACTCATAAAGCAGTTCGCTGGAGGGTATCGTCGATTGTCACTTCCAATATCGGCTTCCTGCACAAAGGCGCTCAAACAGCGGTTCACTCCTCAAATTTCACTCTCCTAACATGAACGTCATCGAAAACAATTTATCCTGTCTGGCCTAACTAATTTTCCCGGAAAAATGTGGGATTTGCGTGCAACCCCCCGACATTCCGTTCAGCAAGATCACAAGCCACAACAGCGATTGCGTACCTCACCTGTAGAGAGGGGCATTTCCTGCTGCGCATAAGTGTACGGGGTATGAACAAGCATATACTCAACCAACAAGCAAATATGTCAATATGATCCAGGCGAAGCGCGGGGATTCAAAGGGAACCCTACGCCCTTCATAGCATTGGTTAAGCATTGCCGTTGGTTGGCTGTAGATAGCTGGCCTGTATCTTCGCTCTTCAGTGAGCCCTCTGGGTTTCGAAACGAGCCCATGAATACATGTACCAACCTACTGGATCCTGCTTCCCTGAGTCGGGGATTTTCGCAGGGGCGCTAACCTAAACCTAAAGCTCCCGTGAGAACTCTTCCTCTACTGAGTGTGAGAGGTTCCCGGTCCCCTTGCCGCAATTCGCTCCACGCATGAAGAGCCCATAAGCTATATAGTATCATGCACTGGCTTGAAAGTAACTCATTCAACAGCCCTGCATCAGCACTGTTCAAAGCTAGCTAGGTGCAATACTACACAAAAGGTCTTAGTCGCAAATTACAAGACTCTGACTAGGTATCACTTGACCTCAGACTGCCTCGCTTTAAACATGACACCCCTTGATAAGATGAACTTCAACAAACGACGTCAATCTCGGCAGAATTCGAAGCATGTCCGCCTTTGGCGGCATTGTCTCCAGAAACAGCAAACACTGAAAACCAGCAAACAAGTAGACGAGCTGGGCCTTACCAGTCCGCGAACTTGTATGTTTGCATTGCTTCGAAGCCTGATCTACCACCAATGTTTTCCAAGACAGATACGTACGCTCTGGCGAATGGGAATCCATTCGCAAGCCAAGTGTGCGGCTTCATGCTGGCTGAGAAGGCCAAAGGCAATGTTTATTGGACCCTTGAATGGCAGAGGTGTTATTCAGCAGGATGACTGAGGAGGTCAAAGAACTCCCAGATAATCTCAAAGCCATTTATCCGATTTGAACTGCGTGGCTCTAACAACCGCAGAATAAGCTGCTGCCACCTTAACGGCACATTTGAGGCCGCCAGCTCATGATTCAGGATGTACGACCGTACGCCTCTTGTTAGCAGCCCTTTGGCCAGACTCTTTGCCGCATCGCCGTGCGAGTTTCCCTCTTCTGTTCCATACGGATTATCCTTGCCTGTGTATAACTGGAAGAGCATGATTCCTAAAGACCACAAATTCGTTCCAGGTGCAGGAGATAAGCCAGTATCTTCGGCCGCCAAGATGCCAGGCTCCAGATGATCAGAAAGAGAGGCCAACTCGCTGATTATTGGTCTGCCGAAAGGAGCGCTGCTGCCAAAGTCTCCCAGTAGGAAAGACCCATCTTCACGCAGAAACAAAGAATCCCAGTCAAGGGCAAGGTGGCCGATGCCCGTCTTCTCCAGTTTGAGCACTATATGTAGCAAACGAGTAGCGATATAGTCCCGTGCTTTTGCCATGACACCAGGTGCGCTTTTCTTGAGGTCGTTAAGGGTCCCCTGGAACTTCTCCAAAAGCTTTGGCTGATTCAAGATAAGGGTCTCTCCTGCGGAGCACACTGGAGAGACGCCTACTATCTCAGCGGTGTATAGGGTGACTGCGAAACCCTTCAGGGAGGCGGTAAGCGCTGCCGAAACGCTGCCGCAGGCTTGTATCTCTGCGTTCCGCTCATCTTTAAATGCCTCCCGCGCCTTCCCCAGGAAAGTCTCCACACCAAAGACCTCTATCACATCCTCATCAAGCATGGGGATCTGCAACGAAAACTCCCGATTGGCGTCTATATCTTCAGCATGAAGCAATAAGCCCCACCGCAGAACTCCCGCGACCTTCGTGACTCGTAACACGTGGGGCAGGTGCCTGATTTCATCGTCCAGCTTTAAGGGCCGGGTTCCGCGCAAAACCAAGACCATCCCAACAAAGGAGCCAACAGTTCTCTCCCAAAGTGCCTCACAAACAATACGCTGAGACGTCTCAACAGATTGAGCAACGGCATCGCTTGTGTAGAACTCAACGGCCCAGGCAGCAAGTGCTGCTTTGCCCTGCTTCAGTCTTGAAGAAAGAGTACGTTCAAAGTCTTCAAGTGAAGGCAATCCCCAATCGTCATAGTTTGTCACAGGCTGTGTGGGACGACGTATCGACAGGACGGAGGCCAATGAACCAGAAAGTTCCGCCTTCCCACGCGGACGAGTATGCGGCTTGCCAGAGCCGCCAACGGGGCGGCCATCTGTCCCAGCCTGCTTCTGTGTCCGCTCCACTTGCTCATCAATTGACAAAGAGGAGGAGGAACGGGCGTAGGCAGTTCTCTGGACAGTTGCATTCTCCGAATCCACACGATCTGCCGGTGGCGACACTTTTCCATGGACCACGATGAACACGATCATGCTGGCCGCGGCCAAAGCGAGGGGAGCCAGACTAACTCGTCCTACAGGAGAACTGGAGACTACCTTCCGAGTATCAACCAGAAAATTCTTGGCACCTGCCACCGGTTCCGACTCCACTCTCGCACTTGTCTCTCCAGGATCAATACGCCGATCCATCTTTGCCTTTAGAAAGAACCAGAAACAACGAACACACGGAAAGACAGTTTCTACACACAGTCATAGTATTTAATCCACAACGAGAGGCAACCAACTGCGTGGGGCTCACATCGCTCACCAGAGATCCTTCGTTTCCATTTCCCGCGTGGCAAAGCAAGCCCACATGATACCCGTGCTAGCTTAATACTAAGGCCAAAAAGCGTGACGGGTTACACTTAATTATAACAAGTACAATGGTAAGATTAATGCTAACTTTTTGTTGGGATCTTCGAAAAGAATGGACGGGGAACTAGCGTGGATCAATTTCCTGCGCCGGGCGATAAGGCCACCTGCACGCGCAGGTTAGTGCGCTTGGCACTTAGAAAGAATCATCTCGTGTAAATTAATATCTTCGCCAGCCAATAACCCCTTCGTACTCCTCCTAGGAGGTGGCAATACGATCGCCAACCGCCAACCACCTCCAGTGGTCCAGCTGCACGGCGGTGTCAGTTGCCATTGCTGTTTTTGTAGATTCACGACTTTCCATGCAACTGCTGCACTTCGATATGACGCATTTGTACCCAAATGCCATTTCTGTGCTCTGTTTATCACTAAACCGCTCCCTACATCCATGTCTGACACATCTTCCTGCGCAGCGTGTTCAGAGTGGGTCTGCGTGGGCGGTATCAATGTTTCTTCTTGTGTGCGTGGTCGTGATCGAGGGTAGGGTAAGTGATTAGTGATTGTTAACAGCATTTACAAATGTAACAATTGGGGCTTCGTTGCAGTCGCATGCGTTGTTGTATTGCAGTAAAGTGCGTTCCACATCGTAACAGGCGGCTTCCTGCCCACACCAACGCGAAGCTCGTGTGCCTCCCACTTGTATGCCTAGTACGCTAGTAGGCCTGGGGACCAAAGGGGAGGCCATCTGCTTTTAGGTAGTCCTTACTTCAAGCCCTTGACTCAACTTTCCCCAAAACGGTCGTCTGCTAAGCACAAGTACTTCGTTACAATTGGTAGCACCGCATGGGCGCAAAAGATGTGAGCTCATCCCCCCAGCTGGGTGGCCTAGTGTACAGCGCCAGTTGGTGGCAGAAGGCGTTTTGCAAGACTGTCACTATTCTTCTTAAAGTCTTCCTAGAAACTTTTGGCTTTCACTCCCCTCGGATAATGCGAATTGACCAGGAATTGCACTTCTATGGGGCGCCGACCAACGGCTGAGCGCCAACTTGCATTAGAGCGAGCGTAGTCCCTGCATCCCATCCAACCGAAGATGCCTGTCTTTACGGCGATGAGAGTTCGTGGAGAATGCCTCAAGCTTGTCCGACATGACAAATACGATGATTGCTGCAATGAGGGGAGAATGGAAGCGTTCCTCTAGACTTGTGCGTTCGCCTGCGAAGACAAACATTTGCTATTGGTATCTTCTTTAGTGGAAAGGGAAGCACGACGACGGTGGTTGAATGACAAGCCATGGTACCACTTTTCCAGCTTTCCGACGTGCGTTGCGTTGTAAATTTATTTCCGGGTATGCGAAAGACGAGGAAATGGCGTAAGGAATAATTAGGCAAGGGAAGCCACCGACGGACAGCTAAATTACTATGCTGAACAGAAGTCAAATAGTGGACGCGGAGCTTCGGCATCTATGATTCATACAAGTGCTGTCCTGGAGAGAGGTCGGCTACTAGCTGGGCAGTGGAGAGGTAAATGGGTGAAGGTGAAACTCGCCGGGATGATGGATTCTTGCACAACAAAGAGAAACGACGCCACTTCCACCTCTGTGAGAAGAAAGAAAGCGGGTTTGGAAATGATTTCTATACTATGACGATTGCTACTGGATTTGAAAATACCTTTTCCCTGTCCCCCGTCCGCTTCTCCCCCCCGCAAACCCTTTCCCCAAAAGATGTGAAGCGCAGTCCGACAACTTCCGGAAAATTCGGCACTCAGAAAGTTGAGGAACTGGTCCCGAGCGGTGCATCTGCTTCTTGTGCAGCAAAGGAGGTAGTATTCTTCGAGACAGTGGACGCATGAAGAGGGTGGAGGAACGGTACAAGCAAGGCATCGAGAAGCGCCACCAGCGGAGCAAGCAAAGCGATCCGATCATGGAAACGTCGTACTCCATGCAGGGTGTGACGCAATGATGAAGCCATGCATGCAGATCCGTAACCTTTTGTTCGTCCAAGTTAGGATTATTGCTCAGAAATTGTTCGTGCTCTTTGTCAGAGTGCGAAACGGACCTGACATCTGAGCGAGGAGAGGCAGCCTACACGCGTATTTGTTGGTGCAGTCTCTGCATCTACACTTCGCTGATAGCCGACAGGGCACGAGGAACAAAAGCACATATGAGTGAAAACCTAAGCTCGTTTGCGAAGGTGGATATACTACCATGATGTAGCACTTCCATATTGCACCAATTCGTCACAACATAGCCCTAGGCATGCTCTGTTGTACTGCACTTAGCCTGGGAAGGCGCCTAACTAGATCCCTAGACTAGCTAAACTAATTGCAATAAGTGACCCATGCTCCTACGTAACTTCTGAGGTCGTACAGTTTTGTCTTATAGTTGGCAAATTCCCCCAACAGTTGTGGGGAAGCGGCAGCAGCAGCAACCGGAGCAACGACAGCAACAACGGCAGAAGCGGCGGAGGCAGCATCAGCTGCTCCTATTGCAGCAGGTGCAGCAGCAGAAAACACCTGAGCGTTTCGTTTTATTTTGTGCTTTTCCTATCAGGGGGAAGCCCAGCCAGACCCGTTGACCAAAAGGCTCAGTAGATACTTGGCACTATGTTGGGGACATGCCGACATGCAAAGCGACTGCAAATGCCATAATGCTCGATCGATCTAGTGTATCGTGAAGTTTGGTGAGAAAGATAATTCATCCGTGTCTGCGGTCTTCCGGGGCTAAGCAGGCTACAGTTGCCTCACAACAGTTATTCAGAAACTGGTGTCGTTCTGCTCCATAGTTGTTGTTTGGCTGCTGTTCCTCTTTTAAAATTTTTTAAATTTCAGGTTGAGACAAAGGAGGCAAGTGGTTGGGAGAGGGAGAAGCGAAGGGACACTAAAGAGCATTGCGCGACAACCCTAAGGATATCACCAAAGCTATTATTCGTCTTCTTGCTCGGAGTGCAGGTGTTAAATGCTTCTCATGTATCATAAGAGGACAGCGCAAAGGTGATGGGGGAGGGATCTTCCTCGACAAAAATACACAAGAGCACGTCAATATGATCAAGGACTCCGTCAACTACAAGAACGCCCACGCAGGAAAACTGTTACAGCTATGGGCATCGTGTACTCACTGAAGAGAAGGTGCCCCCCATTGTACGATTTCTTTGGCAAGACGAAACTCATAAAGAAGAGGAGAGCAGGAAAAGGCAAAGAAAGTAGAAGTGGCAGCACGGGATGGGAGCAGCTGGGCATGCAGAAACCCCCCAACATTCGCAACTTCGATTAGCTGATACGCCCCTTTCTACAAGCCTTCATCCAATGATAAAGAATGTTGCCTAGCTGTTTAACTTTTCAGTGTAGAGGAGCAACCCGCGCTCACGGCCCTCATTTTGTGACTGAAACGCGCGTCCTTCGACCTTTTTTGAAACCTGCAAAACAAGAAATACGCAAAAAATACGAAAAAAGAGCATTGATATCCTACTGCGCAAATGACCTTTCTCTCATCACCTCCAGAGAAAGTATGCAGAAAAACCAAACCCTAGAAGTCATTAGAAGAACCCATCCAAGGCCTTTGTTGGACTGGATGAAAAATGGCGTAATGCAAGTTACTGCCTATCTGGGGAGTTGTGGGAGACAATGGCGAAATTCTTCCTCCCTCAAGAAGTCGGATACGAATGGGTACAATGTGCTGGACATGCTCGGCCCAGCTGACGAGTACCCACCGCAGCAACTGAGAAAGTTGGATAACCACACTCAGAATTTCTGGACGACGGACGGTCTTGGAATCTATGGAAAGTAGCTTGAGGAGCTGTAGGCGAAGCTGAGACCCTTCCAGAAGCTGACAAAGAAGGTTCTTCATAAAAAAGTAGGCAAAAGAGGTCTTTTCAACAGAATTATAGACACCAAGTGCTTGCATCTCAACACGGAATTCGGCTTGGCTGCTAAAAGGGAAGGCATAATGAAGGTCCAGGCGCTGAGACGCAACACCATGGCGAGATACACGTGCAAATGAAAGGAGCTTTGGGTGAGTAGAAGAAGAACCAAATCAAGAAAGCGATGCAATACCACTTGTGGGTGACAAAGCACACGAGGGCGTGCTTTGCTTGCTCTCCGAAGTTGGTACAAGGACACACGCTTGGCCTTTGTAGGCAATCTCCAAGCAAGTGTAAGCACAATAATTGCCTACAGCGTTAGTTGAGACTGCAGCAGTGAGTTTGGTTTTGCTTGCACACGAAGGTGCCGTGCAGTTGAAACGACGTGCGCTGCAACCCTTTTGTGCTGGCTCCTTTCCCCCAGTGTTATACCCGTGGGCCGCTATCCTTAGAACGTCTACTGACTAGAGAAGATGTCATTTATTTTCAACGAAGTCGCAAGCACTTTTGCTCGATTGTAGCCCATGGCGGATCTCGAAAAAGATTGCGACCCCCCGTTACGCCAACCGCAGATGCACGCATGTACACAACTGCTAAACACATGGATAGCGATCAGCAACCAAATTGAAAGTAGGTCTCTACCTAGAGATGCACGAATAAACTTCACACGGACAATGCTACACACAAACTTGTACTGTACAATGTATAGTGAGCAGCTCTCACGTGTTACTGTCTGGGTACCCTTCTATGCACACCTAGTAAGTACAATTAATCTATCGCTACACTCAGCGAATCTTCCCTTGATTAGACCAAATAGTCGGCAAGATCCTTTTAAAACACATTCGCGTCTCATAATCTTAGAAAGGAAGACCAAGAATAATAGCACTCGCCCCGTGACCCCTGAGCTGGCCAGCGCCTGGGCGGCAGTGCCAACCTCCCAGCCAGCCCCGTAGCTGGGGTCCTTGCCAAGCAGCTTTACTTCTGAGGCTTCCCAATGCAGCTTGATTCATTTCTGTCAAGTCTTTCTTTCTTTACTCTTTCTTATGGATAGGCCGCCAGAGTACCGATTTGATCACCATGGTCGTGGGGGTACACTACAGCAAATGCACTGCGATGGCCCTCAGATTGGACATGTAGAGGTCTATCCGGCAGAGAGAGTACAAATAATATATTGTTGCAAGTAAGTCAAGTCACTTGATACAGGAATAAAGGCCATCAGTTCAAGAGTGCTCTGCAGCTACCCAGTGCCCGGTGCTTGCAGCGAGTCTAGGCTCTCGTCCGCAAAGTGCCCGCATCGGTAGAAAAATTACCATTGCTCTTCCTCCTTCAGGAGGAGTAGCCCAAGCATATGAACATTAGGCTGTTCTTTGGCATTTTAAGGTGAATTCAACGGTTATGAGTTGAGTGTGGCGTGTCAATATCGAGTGAACACTTAAAAGGTATACATAGGGTTGAGTGGCAGCTTAGAGCACTGTTCACTACACTGAGTCTCTATTCATTGGTGCAGTCTCGGTGGCGAGGCATCGCGGAACCAGCAAGCAATGCCAGCTCTCGAAGGAACAGCCTTTTGGAGGTGCACAGCTTCCATCAGCATCAATCCACTTACCAGCGAGTATGCCCTGCGGTTGAAATCGGCTAACTTATGAGCTTCACGGAAATACGCAGCAACTCCATCATACCAGTTGTAAACCCCACGACGAATATGTGCATGTAACACCATAGGGGTATCGCGAGTACCCTCTCAAATCTCACCAACCAGCCCTGGGCAACTGTCGTGGGATGTGCGTTATGCAGCGCCGGTTAGACTTTACGCGCTCCAGCTTCCCGCAGCACGTCGCGTACTTGCTTTCCGGTAAATTTGCTCCTTAAAGCCTCATGCACTTCTGTGCCTCCAAAAATGGACAAGCAGGGGGCTGTTATTGAGACCATAGTCTCAGCAGCCCTAGAGCCGAGGGGAAGGGGCAAGGATTCATCCTCGGAAGTTCGAAAAACTGAGCCGACATATTGGCGGGAACTGCCTGGCCTGCCGTCTTTTATTTTGCGGGCTGCATGGTTCATGCTGCTAGTTGCAATACGCAGCAGCCTAGCTTATCTGGTGGAGCCGAGCCCTCCCAAGCCGGCTTGCCGCTCGATGTTGCCCACGAAAGAAGGGGCCAAAGCATGATGATTTGGGCCTGCCTCCACTTGAACAAACTCTTTCTGTAAGGCATAGAAATGACAAAAGGTCTCTAGCTGCTTGGGCCTCTGCCGGCGTCGTCAAGAGTGAGAAAGCTAAGGACTGTGCGGGCATGTTGTTACTCAGGCTTTGTCGAATGGCTCGCAACACTGCTTGGTTGGGATGATTGCTGCTATTCAGGGTGTACCGCCGTGAGACATGAGCGTTACAGAGAGGCATTTGCCCCAAAGGCTGCGCGCTGAAGTTGTTGCTTATTCCCGCTGGAGCTTGTTGGTGAATGTCGAAGACACTGCGATGAGGGAAGAGTACCCCGTTAATATTCTTATCACTTCTGTGGTTATGAAACCTGGGAACAGCGAAGATCTGGCTCGGGAACTCATACGGCAGGCGGCTTCGCACGAGAAGAAAACGGGCCTACACGCTTGCGGCACCACTTTGGCTGAGTTGGCGGCTTCACAAAAGGGTATTTCCTTCCCGTAATATACATTCAGAATATCGGGTCTTGATAAAGTTCACTCGGTAGGGAATTTTAGGATCTATGGTACTGCCAAGTTGATGGAGAAGGTTGTTGGCAACCTCTCACATCTAAACTACGCTATCTGTCGCAAGCCAGAAGAGCTCGACTACATCGCTTCCCGCATGCTGCAGATAGGGTTGTACCTCGAGCCAATCAGGGGTCGGTCATCTGCACCTTGAGGATGGCTCTTTCCTCTTGGAAAATTTTGGCAACGCTGCTCCTTTCGGAGAGGATGTACCCATTGTATCTTCCCGCCAGTCTATTTTTCCGGACCTTTCTATACTGTTCTTATGCTAAGACCAAGCAATTTGCTCCTGAAGCTAAGACGATCATGCTGGGTCTCGGGACAACCTCTTCACGGGAAACAACTACCCCGTCGGAGAAGCGCAGCTGGACGCCAGTCTGGACAGCGCAGTAGAACTGGTACAGCGCTTGATATCAGATAATGTGCGTTTTGACTTTTTGATTCCGCAGTTGGAGGAGGCGAATGCCCCAGAGGGGCGGGCAGAGCTTAGTGTACGTCTGCTGGAGCCCCAGAGACCACTCAGGAGAAATACCTTCCAAATTCTCGAAGACCTTCCAGATATCGTTAACAATCATGCTGAGTAAAGCTTCAATTAGTTGCGCCCTCTACAGAAGCATCTGCCAAGTGCGGGCTCGTTGGTGAGGGGTGGCCCTTGCCGAGTGGCGCACGCTTGTCGGTGTGTCGAAAAGCTTTGAATCAACACTCTTTCCGAGCAAGCGCTCTCACACTAATTGCATTCAATTCGCTAAATAAAAATAGATGCATATTATGGACAAGCAACTGATTGCGCAGGAGCTCAATCGCTTGTGTTTGCAGGCCTTTGGCTAGCATAGGCTGGATTTTATCTGCATTCAAGTTTCCGCCAAGCACCGCTCTGTGCTTCTCGAGGCCCTCTGAGTTTTGCCACTCTGGGAAGCGCCGGGGCCCCCATAGGGAGTTGGTTGCTCGAGAACCATAGGCAGATTCGAAACTCGACGGGGGCAAGTGGACCGAACCTCAAATTTGAATTCAGTGGTATCTGTCTGGTAATCTCTGCTTATCATGCTGAAGCTGCAGAGTGCGTCATTTGTAACGCAACCTAATAGTGTGATTTTAGCCGCAGGTTAGTACGAGTGTTTCGCTTCACCGACAAAGAACCCTCGTTACATTTGTTGGGGAGTTCATCTACAACTGTGCCTGTGTAGGATTGCATGTCGCTTTGTGTGCACGTATCCCAGGTTCAGGGCTGTGGACGCTCATTTCTGGCACTATGCTAAATCCGTGCCATGTTGTACTAGAGTTGGCCTCCGGTGCTTCAAGAGCTTATAGGCGCACAGCGGTAAACAGGGATTCGCCATGCAGTGAATTCTACCTCTTCGTACCCCTCTTCTTGATTTTGAACTCCCATGCGAGGGAACTAAGTTTTCTATCGGCAACGTTTGAGTGCGGTGCGCGTAGACTTCGCGCTCGACTATTATACGTAAGCACCTCATGCTTTGCACAGACTCATTGAAGCAGGGTCTGTGGACAGTTGTTAGATATATCCGTTGTGCGCAGCCGAAATGCACACAAGTAGCGAGCAAGCATTTGGCCTTCACACCAAGTGTTTCTAGTGCTTGCATGCAAATGGGGGCTTGGCTACACTTGCGTGTCGCGTTGTCTTGGGGTATGAACAGCCTCTGACGGGTGCATCGCCCCTTCCAAGTTCACGATCTTCAGCCATTACGCTTAGCGCACGAGGAAACGTCAGACAGAGTTGCTTTTGAGCCCTATTGCTATATAGGTATTGCCGGATGTTTCGATTCGAGTGGAGCGCATGAACGTCGTGCGCGAAGGTTAAGGAGTCGCGCTCCGTCATCATCGCAGGATAGATGCTGTGAGCGGTGCCAGTTTTGAGGGCTCCATTCGGGTATTTCGTCGTTCCAAAATATCAACGTTGTGGAGCTGTATTTGCCGCATGCTACAACTCTCGATCCGCTACCTGTTACCTTGAGTGCTGTAATTCACTTTAGCAGTTCTAAAGCATAGTACCTGTAGCTGGGCATACTCCGACTGACTTTGTGGCTGCTTCACTTGCTCATCCTTTTCCCTTCACTGCCCCTTAGTTAGGTAAGGGGATGAACAAGCTGTTTAGGACGGCGCGCTTCCGAGTAGCCAGCATTAAACTCCTACTGTCTCCAGATGCCCGGAGTGCACTTGCGCAGGACGCTCGTGCCGGTGAACAGAGGAGGCATGCCCTGCTGCAATGCTTGTTGAAACTCCTGCAGAAGGAGGCTCAGATACAAGCCCATCAGAGCCCCTTCCCGATACATGTACGAACGCAGTCACCAAATGTTAGACATTCTTGGCCTACAGTGATTATCGTACGCATATCATGAAAAGCACACTGTAGACAGCCCCTAAAATATCCTCTCTTCTCCGTTCTCCAAATATCGTGCATCGTAACCCTAAACAAAGGAGCTTCCCGAGAGCAGCTAGCATTGCCTTCACTCTCCAGGCTCCCTAGGCACAGTGGAGCAAAGGCATGGGGCTGCGCCGAGAGTAGTCGGCCTGTCATGAGTTGCAGCACACCGTAACAACCACACATACACGTCTACCCAAGCCCTCTTCAGACGCATGCAAAACACTGTAAGGAATCGTTAAACACCTGCTTGGCAATCACTAGCCGATTTGCGCGCAACTACAAGTAACAACTTCACACGGACCATCCCACCCACAAAATGCTACGCCCCCTCAGCACCGACGAGAAGAAGCACAACTCACGCTGTGGATTCATACTCCCTTCACAATAAGAACGCAACCTCAGCTATTGTCGGAACGTCTCCATGTAGCATCGGCATGAATCCACTACTAGGTACGTGACAACCCATTCTGTTGCTCTGCAGCTGAACCTGGCTAAGTTATGGGTTGCTCGGCAGAGCACTTCAGCTCCATTTCATCAGCAGTAAACCACACAACAACTCTGTGGGTTTAGCACCTTGTTGGTATGATTTGGCGACCACATTCTTGGGTGTCGTCAACCAGCCGTCAGAACCTTTCGTGGGATGCATGCTCCCCAGCCCCAATTCGAATGCACGCACTTTAAATCTTGACAAAGAAAGGCGTACTCGCTTTTTGGTGAATTTCTTAATCGAAAGGCCAACACACCATGCAGTTCGTAGCGCGCAGGCACGACAATAAACCTCAAATGGGCTAGAACTCTCCCCTGCCGGAGAGTACAAATATTATAATATTAGAGACAAATCAAATCAATTTAGACAGAAATTAAGACTACCAAGCTAAGAGTGTTTGGCACCAACCCAGGGTGTAGGGCTGGCTGTAAGTGTGGCAATGCCTACTGGGCGCTGAGACACTAGGGGGTGCGCGCACTGAGATCGATTCGCTGGATGTAAAATTGGGGAAAATGGAACCCAGATATAGAAGAAGAGACTATTCTTTGATACTTTAAGGCTATTTCAAGGCTTCTATGCTGAGTGTAGCGTATGCGTAAGAGTGTGCACCTAAGTAGGTGCGTAAACAGGCGAGACATAGGTAGCAGCATACGCTGTTCACCACAAGCTTTCAGCAGGTCCCGTTGCATGCATGCTCCCCAGCGCCGGTTCGAATGTAAGCGTTTGAACTGCGCGCAGGGCATTGGCGTAATGGGTTCTCGGTGAATTTGTTCCTTTAAGCTGGATGATATTCTGTGTTTTCAAATATGGTGGAGCAGAATGCTGTTCTGGGGACCACAGTCTCTGCGGCGGACAAGCCGACAGGAAGTGGCAAGGATTCATTGCCTGAAATTCGAGAAACTGAGCCCACATCCGTGGGGAGACGAAGTTATGTGCCGCCGTATTTTATGTTGGTAGTTGTGGGGTTGGTGATATTGCTTATAATGCACAGAAGGCTGGGTCGTCGGGTGGAGCTGAGCCCTCGCAGCCCGCTCGTTGTTCCTCCACAGGAGAAGCCCGAGCGTGATGATTGGGGAATGGGTTCACTTGAATACTTTGAACAAACTATTCCTGAGCTTGCGGTGGGCAAAAGAGCTCTGGCTGCTTGGGCCTCTGCGTCCGGCGGCTTCGTCAAGAGTGAGAAAGCTGAGGAGTATGGGCGTGCTCTTGCTCATGCTTTGTCGAAAGGCTCGCAACACTCCTTGGTTGGGATGGTTGTTGCTCTTCAGGATGTACAGCCGTGGGACATGAGCGTTACAGAGAGGCCTGCGCCTCAACTGCTGCGCGTCACTGAAGTTGTTGCTTATTCCCGCTGGAACTTGTTGGTGAATGTCGAAGACATTGTGACGAGGGAAGAGTATTCCGCACATATCCCCATGATTCGTGATGGTGGTGAAGACGTGGACAAGGTACAAATACAATATTCAGTTGAGCAGGAGAGGGAGTCTATCATACAGGCTGTCGGCAAAACTCCGGCTGCTTTGGCGGCCTCACAGAAGGGCATTTCCGTCCCACAATACACCGGAAGAATATCAGGTCTTGATGAATTTCACACAGTAGGGAATTTCCAGATCGTTGGCATTGCAACTTTGATGGAAAGGGCTGTGGGAAGCTTACAAAATCTGATACGTACAGCAAAGGACGTCGTGCAACAAGCACGGGACTACATTGCTGTTCGCTTGGTGTATATAGCGTTGAAACTCGAGCATTCTGGAGTCGGCCATCTGCAGTTTGATTGGGATTCTTTGTTTGTGCATAGGGATGGCTCTTTCCTCTTGGGAAATTTCGCCAGCGCTGCTCCCTTCGGAGAGTGTATATATCCCTTTAAAGCCTTCGTGACACATCCTGCAGAACCTTCTATGATGATGGCTTTTGATAATTCCGGCGTATATACTCCTGAAGCTAAGACAAACATGTGGAGTGTCGGGATCCTGCTGTACCAACTCTACACGGGAGACGAAAACCCTTTAGGACGTGTGGAGCAATGGCCAGCAGATGGGTGTTTACTCTCACAGTGCATGCTAGGTCGGCAACTAGATTCTGAAACTATATTAGAGAATTTGAAATCCGCGAATGTCCCAAGGAGGTGGGTAGAGCTTATTCTGCGTCTGTCGGAGCCCGACAGGCGTAGGAGGATAGGTGGCTTCCAAGTTCTGAGGGAGTTTGACGACCTTCTTTAGAAATCCTGCTAAGTAAGCTCTCAGTTCGTTGTGAGCCATGTTTTTGGAGGGCAGGTCTGCCAAGACCAGAGTAGTTATTAGGGGGCATGACCCTTGTTGACTGATGCACGCTTTTCGTTGTCAATTAGCCATGGGTCGGTTCGCCTTCCCAGTAAGTGGGCTCGCAGTTATGCAGACAGTTCAGTGCACGCCAGTAGCTACATATTATATCTAGACTGTGCTCAAAGGCGCAGTCAGGAGCATTGCTGATGTGTGGCCGGCAAGAGATGGCTTTTCTCCGCGCTCAAGTTTCTGCCGAACACCACGCGGTGCTTTTTTTTTGAGGCATTTGGAGTTTTGCAACCTTTGGAAGCGTCCGGACGCTCAAAGCGCTCTGACTGCTCGATAAAGGTAGGCAGATTTGGAACATTAGGGGAGCAAATGAATCGAACCTCAATTTGAATTCATTGGCATCTGTCTGATAACGCCTTGATGCTGAGGCTGCAGATTGTGTGCTTCGTAACGCAATTTAATGGTGCGCTTGTAACCCCCGACTAGTACTTACAAGCACCTTGCTTCCACGAAGCGCCCTCGTTGCATTCAAATATATATATATATATATATATATATATCAGTGGGCGTGAGTAGGCCTGCATCCAGCTATGTGCGCATGTATTAGGGGTTTGGGGCTGTGAACGCTACTATGCGGCACGATGCTAAACCCTCGCGACCAGGTGATTGGGCTGCGGTGTTTCAGCGGCTTATTGGCGAAAAGCTGTAAACGGGGGTTCGGTATCGAATGACTTGTGCTTCTGCGTGCATCTCTGCTTGATTTTGAAGGAGGCATCTGCATCGTGCGTACACACTCCCTTCCGAGGGGATTACGCTTGCGGGTAGGAACGTTTGAGTGCGGTGCGCGTGGGCTTCGCATTCGATTGCTCCACGAAAGTCGCTAATGTTTTGCACAGATTCATTGAAGCAGAGTCTGTAGGCAGTTATTGGATATATCGGTTGCGAGTAGCCAATATGCACGCAATAAGCGCTTGGCTGCCACAACACCAAATGCTTTTAGTGCTTGCATGCATATGAGTGCTTGGCTATGCTTGCTTGCAGCGTTCTCTTGGTACGAGCTGTAGCAGGAACCGCTGCAACCTCTGACGGGTGCATCGTCTCTTCCACGCTCACAATCTTGCGCCAAAGGTTATTCCATTAATACCCCCATAATTCGTTTGAACCAGGGGCACCAATATGAAGTGTGGCTGAGGAACGAATACGGCAGGCGGCTGAGCTGGAGAGGTAGTCTATCCTACAGGCTTGCTGCACCATTCCGACTGATTTGGCGGCCCCACAGAAGGGCATAGCCATCCCACAATACACCGGAAGAATATCAGGTCTTGATGAATTTCACACAGTAGGGTACCAGATCGTTGGCACTGCAACTTTGATGGAAAGGGCTGTGGGAAGCTTACAAAATCTGATACGTACAGCAGAGGACGTCGAGGAACAAGCACGGGACTACATTGCTGCTCGCTTGGTGCATATGGCGTTGAAACTCGAGCATTCTGGAGTCGGCCATCTGCAGTTTGATTGGGATTCTTTGTTTGTGCGTAGGGATGGCTCTTTCCTCTTGGGAAATTTCGCCAGCGCTGCTCCCTTCGGAGAGTGTATATATCCCTTTAAAGCCTTCGTGACACATCCTGCAGAACCTTCTGTGATGATGGCTTTTGATAAGTCCGGCGTGTTTATTCCTGAAGCTAGGATAAACACTTGGGGTCCCGAGGTCCTGCTGTACCAACTCTACACGGCACAGGCCTACCCCTACGGAAGATTGACCGAAAACGGCTGGCCTGCTGAGGCATTGTTACTCTTGAGAGCGTCAGTAACTGTTCAGTTTTAGTTGTGAGCCTTGTTTTTGAAGGGCGCATCTGCCAAGCGCAGGGTAGCTGTTTAGCTGCCTGGGGTAAGGACCTTTGTTGGTTGACGCATGCTTGTCATTGTCTCGACCAGCTACGAACCAGCACTCCTTCCTAGTAAGTGCCCTCATGCGTGTGCAGACAATTCAATGCACGCTAGTAGGCACACATTAAGTTTTAACAAGCGGTTGCGGAGAGGCACAATCACATGCATTGCTGAAGCGTGGCTAATAGAGGCCAATGTTGCTCTGCATTCAAGCGCCAGGCAAACATGATTGATTCGTTTGCCGAGGCATATGAGTCTTGCCGCTTTTGGAAGCTGCTGGCCCCTCAGAGAGCGTTGAATGCTCGAGAAAAATAAGCAGAAAAACAAGCAGTTTTCGGTAGTCGAGGGGGGCGAAAGAACCGAATCTAAATTTGAATTCGTTGGTGTCTAGAGCAGCTCGTGTATGATGTTGCAGAGGCAGAGGGCAGGTCTCGGCCGAGTGATTGCTCATCATGCGTTGAATGCTAGTTGAAGGATTTACTGCTGTCCTAAGATATTATTTGCCTGCAGTCACAACAGAGGCCTGTTCTCACAAGGGAGATTCACTTATCCCTGCAGTAAGCAAGCCCGTAAAAAAAACTATTTCCGGATTACCAAAACCGCAGCTCGTTCGGTTTGACCGCCTCATCTAGACATTTCGTGCACTTCTATCAGTCATCTGTTAGTGCATAAGACATAAAGAAGTCCTCTGCGAGCCTTAGCAGGTTCGAATGCATCACCGAAAGGGGGCCACTGAACTTCCTGCCACTCTGGTGAACAGACTACAGCACCATGCCTAACCTGTTTCCAGTCAGTAACAGACTCGTTGTGCAGTTGGGAAAGGTGTTTCAAATATGG